GTCGAAGTTTCCAGTCTCTCTCGAACCACAGGAAGCCATATCTATTAGTTTGCAGTCTCTCTCGAACTGAAAATTTTCTCAAGAATCCAAAATGGCGGGTACTTCGCCGATAACAGAGAAAAAAGTACTCAAAAACTATCAACAAGAAATACCAAAAGCTTTCTCATTGAAGAATTGAACTAGGATTTTGCATTTGTGAAGTTTCAAGCTTGCTAGTTATCATTTTAAGACGATTTTGCATCGAAAATAGTCTCGCCTTCCTCACCAGTCCAGCTCGATGATTATTCAGTACAGCTTCAACATGAAATCAGCTCAAATACTGGCTTTTTTTCCACATTTATAGACAGCAAAAGGTATTCTTCTGTTTAATTGACAATGTTTTTATTGTTTAAATTCAAAGAAATTGCTTTAATATCATCGGGTTTTTTTATTAGTTAGAAATGACAAAGTACAAGTTTTGAAATTGAGCTTTGTTTTGCTTCAATTTTTAGATTTCTTTTGTACGAAAGAAAGGCTAATAAAAACAAAATTTAAAGAATGCACTCATGCCATCTAAAATGCATTGCTATGTAAATAATAATAGATGTGATATCGCTAACCAAGAAGTAAAGAGCTTCCATAAATATTTTTACAAAATACATTGCAAATGTAGGACAATCMCTATAGCAAAAAGATTATGGTTGATAGTTAATATATGATAAGATTATAGCAGACAGTGAAGGTTAACGATACGAATTGAACTGCAAAGAAAACTAAGGTATTCGACGGCATATTTTACTTTCATATATAGTTACGTCATAGTCACAATATTCATTGGAGATACAATTTTTATCTTGTATTGTGAATCTTTTGCTAAGCTAGCCCGCATCACGCTTTACAAGCGTCTAGTTTTTAATGCAACATTGGACGCCCGAAAATGTCGTAGCTTGCATATGTGAAACAGCTGTTACGGACATGGACGACATGATATCGCATGATATCGTTTCATGTATTTTTTGCATTACAAAGTTCAAAATTAAAGTATGCTCTATTTTTTTTATTTTCAGACTTAATCCGAGATCTTATGGTGTGATTGTTTAATAAATGTTAAGTCTTGTTGATCTTTAATTAATTCTATTATATACCTAATCGATCAATACGTATGGCTTGGCATGATTCTGGAAATTGATGTAAAACTGTAGTTATTATTATTTATGTACTTTCCATATTTGCTAGGAAGTTCGATTATCACGTACATTTATATTTCGTTGTTCACAGTAAATGTACAATAGCCGACTTCAGATATTTTGGTTCAGTGACCATGCACAAAAGAATTGCAGACGAGGCTCCGGGGAAATAAAGAATAAAACGATATTATACGCTCTTTGATTGGTCATTTTGAAGCGTGCACTTCAAAATAACTCTTTTGTGCATGGTCACTGAACCAAAATATCTAAAGTCGGCTATTAATTCCTATATCTTTCATCCTGTTCCCTTTTGTTTTGGCTAGAGTGTCATATCTCATGTACGCATTCATGAATTAATTTTGGGTTACGCTCAACATTGCATAGAACTCTGGCTTACCTTTAATAGGTATTGTTCCCAGGATAAGTAAAGTAGAGAGTAAAACCAAATACATCTCTGGAGCGGGAATAAAGGTTTCGCCTTTGTCTCTAGTCTTTCCTCACTTGAAGCGGAAATTTCTTTAAGCGTCTGATGCACTGCCAAAAAAAGGACTGTTTATCCAAAACGAATCACTTGCACTTTAACATAGACTTATTTAATTGACTTGAGTAATTCTACCCTGCGAGATTCTTTTACGAAGAAGTGGGTGGAGAAATTCCTATGCTTGCAAAAAATTAAGAGGTGAGTGGAAAAATTCCTCTGCTCGCAGGGTAGATTAATTTCGGTCATGTGCGTCATTTGTGATAAAAAGGCTTGAAATAAATGGTGTCATCATATCTTTTTTCTTCGGTTTTTAACAAAGACGGCATTTCACCTCTTCACGACTTTCCATACGCAGGTTCAGTGACCACGAGCAAAGCATTAAAACGAGACGTCAAGGAACACTGCACACAGATCTTTTTTAGTTACATTGAGCACATAAGGAATAAGCACATTTAACATATAAACATCAGTTTCAGGTATAAGTTTTCATAGATAAACTTTCCATTTTACACAAAGAATTGGTTATACGTACACCTTTTTTCTACTATGCACACAGAGTTTTAGGATTACAATAATAGTTTGTTCCATTCCCATGAGATTCAAAAGACAGTAGACAGGCGACCATGTTGGAGGAATGAACAATAGATGATACTAATGAGAATTCCTTTGTTGAAGTTCCTTCAAGATGACCGCTGTGACGTTCTTGAAMGCGAAGAATAAKGTCTTATATAAAWTGCCCATGTCCAAMTKAAACAAAATTTCAAAATCATGTTCTAGTTTTTGAAGATGATTTTACATCCTCTTCATTATTTATTTAAGATAATGTTTAGAGTATAAAAATTAAAACATCAAAAAAGGATAATAATATATCATTAAAAAATCAATACAGCTGTTTGCAATAATTCTGACCCCCTCTGCCATATTTCATATATATATCAAACTGACCTTAAATATTATGGGATATCATGACTGATATATTTTTTGAGTTGCCCAGAATGAGTACTTTCTCAAAAAAATATCAGCATTGGTATCCCATAATTTCTAAGGCTACTTTGATATATATGAATATTAGTGTAGGGGGGTCAGAATTATTGCAAATAGCTGTATATAAAAAAAACAATATTAAAAAATAATATTAAAACAATAATGATATT